ACAGCTTTATATAATTTTTCCCAGCATCGTCAGGTCACTCAGGTTGTCCATCCACTCTCCGCAGTCGCGCTTAAGCGCACCAGAATGTCGGAAACTTGTCAAATAAATCCTAGACTCAAAGGCTGTATCAGCTTGCAGACGGAAGGAGTCTCGGAGACCTTATCCGCACGCCAAAAAGCAACAACGCAGCACCTATTCGGTCTATCATTTAACATCAGAACGCAAGCCCAATTAAAGACCGTCCATATAGTCCAGCACAGTCACTTGATAGACCACGGGAATTCTCTCTGGCCAAGAGTCGTAAAGGCCGGGAACGCGCTTCCGGCAGTAGAAGCGCTTTCCAAAGTATACCCAAAAATTATGCCAAAAAATTCTATGCGCATTGGCACAACAGCCCATTTTACAGCGTTGATTAGTAGCCTGGAGAGGCCCGCTCGGCATCCAGTAATTAGCCGCAGAATCAAAATTTCAGCCCGTTGACGTAACATCTTGTGCGGCACTTGATCAGATTTTTGTATCTTCCAAACTGTACAAAGGGAAGAAACAAACGAAAGGAAAGCCGGAAAGAAGTAACTTGAATTAGAAGGAGAACATTAGAACATAAACGAAGTTGAAAATTGAAAATGCGACCAATGTTTTTTTCCATCGACACGCTTGTGTTTGAAATATATCCTCGTGTATTTTCCTTACTTGCAAGACTCCAGCCTCTGTCCTTAGATCCCGTAGTTCAAGGTGGGCTGACAATTTTTGTGGGAGCACCAACCGTCTATCTCGACCCGGTTTCCTAATGGTAAGGTGAGACAAAACAAAGCCATTCCTTTTGGTGGTATCTTTCTCGTGGTGTTTTGTTTCAGTGAGCGAGATTTCGAGTTCACGGACCATTACCGGTTTACATTCTTTTACCGTTCAACGAAGCTACACTTCAGCATATCATGGCATCCTGCAGCGTTTTTCCGCTGATCTATCATCCACGGGATGCCCATTTCAAATTCCACACAGAAAAATCGTAGAATAACTTTTGCACGCATAAAACTTCACAAACGTAACAGATGAGACGAATTCGTTCGGTGAATCTCAGCACAACACTATTTTTCGAGAAGCCTGCCTCCCGTTCAGCATATTATTGAAAGAGAATTGGATGCATTGTGCAGCATAAACCTCTACGGATGATCTCCATTCTCTGTTAAGTGAAATAGGTCAGCATATAATTCAGCGCTACGAAATAATTGCGTGCTAAATAGCAATATCTTCCTCATCCAAAATAATCCCTCTTCTTTTTCAGAATTCGTCATCAAGCCCAAATTCATTGGCGGAAATTAGGGCCAACCATTGCCAGTCATCGTGAGAACAGCATGCGCTGCATGTAACTTGGATACCTAACTTAAGTGCTAGGCCCATGTCTATGTGCGACGCTAATTACGAGGCCTCAGCTGTACGCGGTAAACTAATGCAATGGCCAAAGACGGCTCGTCACACATAACTGTGTTCGACATCACCTACCTTGGCCGTTGACAGTAACCGCCAGATTCGTACCCATCCGCTTAGTTAAAAATAAGACCACAAATATACATAATAAAATAATCCAACGACCAACGGCGGCCCTTTCTACCCATACAGGCCATCCGTCTGCCAGGCCCATGCAGTAAGAAAGCCCAGCCACTCATAATGGTAGTAATAATAATGTTCATCCCCAAGTTGTGGGCGGCATACCTTCTGGCATGATCATAATTCTACGTTCAGAATGAAGCATGACTGTAGAATTTTCTAGTAGTGGGAATTGCGCAAAAAGAGGACAATTACATAAACAATAAGCAATATCCGATGAAATAATAATAATGAAAATAATAAGTTTAGTTCCCAATTTGTAGGGAACAATGGTCATGAGGTCCTACTGCTTCAGAGATGAAGCCGGTTGACATGAACCAAAACTGAAAACCATTGCCGGACAGGAGTGACCTCGGGCGAGTAAGAGTAAGAGTCACCAGTCGCCGAATCACTGCTGTCTACTCCAGAACACGAAGGGTGCATGGCAGAAACAGCCATTAAGCGTTATCTGTGACCGCTAGTAATGAGGAGCTGATAAGTTGTTTGCATTTTATGCATATGATGGCTCTAGAGGACAAGAGGGAAGGGCGTGTGTGCTGTTTGGACGATGAGGTAGACTTGGGATGGTGCGACCCAACTAAGACAAAGGTGAAAACTCTTGCACGTCGAGGCTAGCCATGAGCCTCGCACAGTACCTTCAGGCTAATACATGCATCTATATATTTTTAAACAGATGTCATTCGCGTGTATTTCTTGGTATTGCGAGGCAAGTGACAACCGGAACAAGTGCAGTCCAGCTGCGCCTTGCTTACCAATTCACACAATCCTACCAAATCGATCTTCTTGGCTTGATCAATGCACCTTCTGGTGCTGGACACATTCTTCAATGAAGTCCCCATAGCACAACCAAAAAGCCGTTATCTAACTGTCTCGTTACAGATTCGCCGACACCGAACCACACGAGCTGTTTCTAAGACATCGGTTGCGAAACACCTGAAGACGTCTCACTTAACGTCATCAACTGTGCGTGAAAACGTCTTAGTTATGCTGCTCTAACAAGCTAAGTGTCAGCCATGCAACAAAACAGCCCGTACTGCAGCCTGATGTAAACGTTCCTTGATATTCAGGTATATACCGCTTTGATGCAAACGCGAACCTAGGTTTGCAGATCCGTGGATTGACCTAATTTGTCATAATACAATAAAAATTGATACAACCTCAAATATGCGTAAAATGTTCAATAGCTTCATACGTCACTCCATCGACTGTCAGCGGCGTGTTCAGTGACTGCATGTTGAGGACTTGTGATATCCCGGCTTATAGTACTGTGCAACCCGCGTAATAACTTCTAGACAAATTGGTTCGTCACCTTGGAAGTCCCGCTCCCGTCAGCACTTATATGTTTGATTTCCCTAACCACATCACCTGTCTGTGTGGTTATACCGGTTTGCTCTAGATCTCTTGCACTATAATAATACAGTTCACAGATAGGAAAATCCCAGCCCAGTCATCTCAAGTAAGACGACCGTTACGGGGTTATCCAGAAAACGAGGTATTTTCGCGTAATGATGGCACGGCAGTGCCATAACCAGTTTTATAGCGCACGTTCAACTTTTTTCTTCTTTCTCTTGACTGAAACACTTCGCCCGCTTGTTCCATCGCCAGCAACCCCTGACAAACTCATGCTTTTTTCTGACTGTAACCTGACAAAATGTCTGACAGTATACCACTTACTAGTTGGGAATAAACATTTTTGGGTGCAAAGTGCATAAGAAATGTCGGTGTGACTACTCCATGCATCCAAAAACGACTTCGTCTTTTCTTCTCCTTAGCAGATGAAAACGATACCTGCTTATTCCAGGTCGACAAGGCTTTCTTCGGAAGATATTTGAAATTCGGGGTTCAGAATATATATTAGCGTTCTTCTCGTCGGTCACGAAACCAAGTAGGAATTGGGGGAGGGCTCCCTTGACGGACAATGTTTTGTGTACGGGAGCTTTTAGAGTTCTGCATTCCATTTTCATACCATGTTCGCCACTTCAGCAATTCCTGTCCATGACGATAAAAAAACTGCGTGGTTGACAACTCTCACTTCGACTGCATGTCCTCTCTCGAAATATATTCTTACCGTATGCTAAACTTCATAATCCACCTTCCGTAATGCAGGATGCGAAAAGTAAAATAGAAGCAACTGTTATCGGAAGCCTCTGTTTTCGATCTGAAATTACCGTGGCTGTAGCATATATACCGGACAATCCCAATGAGGATCGAAAATTTTTTTGACAACAGAGGGAAAAACGCTAACAGAGGCTCGCTAAATACACCTCAGAGGAAACTCAATATGCAAAGCTCCAGGAATTTCTTTAAATTGTAACCAAACTATTCTGAGGTCGCCTCATTGTATCGACACGCAAGACCATCAGGCAATTACTTTTCCTTGGTCTCATGACCCTGCTACCTTATTTGCGCACGAGTACGCCAATGCGGAACCCTCATAGTCACATATTCGCACACCCTTTCGCATCGACCAAATACCTATTACCTGAATCTGGATATCAATTCTCGTTTTTGATATCGGATGGCTTGGTCTCACTGCGGCAGTTAGGAATTGTGACCACTTTTGGCTGCCTGTTAGTTCGAGCCGCAGCCTAACACACATTATAACAAACCATTTCAGACTCCCCCATTTTGAGTCCCGATGTAGGCACGGCTGTCTTAATGACTCACCCCGGATGTTCGTGTATGTAGCTGTCCACGAACCCAGGTACGGCGTCGTGATGACGGTAATGTGACCGCCATACAGTCTCTGGTTCGCCCGTAGTTCCCCACATTCTTAACAGTTCCCGGCAGAACGCGTTGTATGCACTCACAGGACAATCCCAATCGGTTTAATTTGTACCAGGACTTGGGAGCACCGGTCGCCCTATGGTGTGTTTTACATGTTCTGTCCATAAACACTAATTCACCCAACGGCACTATCATGGTTTCGGTATGCGCTTGATGAATATCGTGCGCCCGATGTAGCCCGTGCTGACCAGCATAGAAAAGCTTAAAACACTCGATAGCTGTGTCGAAATCCTTGGCTATTTTTATCGGTACGCCTGTCACAACCACAGATGACTTATCCCCAAATAGGTCGCGAATGGTTGACTTATTTTGAGTTTGCGCGGACATCCCAGCATCGTTGAGTCTTCCGGAGGCTTAAAAGTTTGGACTGGTACTCTCAGCTGAGTTATTCGGTTACTTTAGTCCACCCGTGGCACGTCATAGCCTTCGAAAATCCCATTCCATTGTGCGATTACTGAGCGCCAGAAATCCATGAGAATAGGTTATATATTTGTAACACGCGCGACGATCTTGGGAAGCTGAAAAACGTACGAAGTATAGATACCTTCTGGCATTCGATTTTCATTTGTGAGTGGGCTCATACTTAGTCGCATCATCGTGAATGATGCCTGCTGTTGGGTCGGTTGTTTTGGTCGGTCAGTCATCGCCATTTTATTCGCAACATGTCGCGCGGTCGGGACTACGGTACTAAGGTGTACATTGGTGATTTGCCCAGAGAGGCTTCAGACCGCGAGATTGAACGCATCTTCCGTGACTACGGACGCCTCAAAAACGTATGGGTTGCAAGAAATCCTCCAGGTTTTGCGTTTGTTGAGTTTGAAGACTTGGCAGATGCACAGGAAGCCGTTCGTGAGTTGGATGGAACGTAGGTCATTGAGTTCCTGTCTTCTCATTAACTCATATTTAGCGTCATGTGTGGCGTGAGAGCGCGCGTGGAACTTAGCAGTGGGAAATCTCGTCAGAAACCGTGGCTTCGAGGTGGCGTTCGGGATGGTGGTGGACGGGATTTCGGTGGTAGGCGAGGTCGGCCGTTCGATCCCTCTGATCGATGTTACGAGTGCGGAGAACGAGGTCATTATGCCTACGACTGCCGAAGGCGCAATGGAGGTGGTGGGCCCGCTTTTGGGCGCCCGGATAACCGTCGCAGACGGTCGAGGTAAATTTTGAGACATTCGTATTTCGTCACTCGTCTGATCATCTGACGCATCCGTTGCGATTGTGTTGCAGTATGGTCGAGCGTCGACGACATCATAGATCGGTGGACGTCCGAGAGTATAAACATCTTACGACTTAACGCCCGTAATGTCACTTGACCACTTTTGAGCAGCGGTGCGACAACGCAACACTGCTTTCGAGCCGTTGACGTCCATTCAGAAGGAATGATAGCGTGGAGCGACAGTTGCAATTGTTAACCTCAGTTCAGCCATAGATTTCTCCCCACGCCCATCCGTCATCCGTCGGTGTCTGCATCGTAACTACAGACAGCCGTCCGAGTACATCATGTAAACTGATGACTACCATAGTGAGATTTCTGCAGAGTCGATCAGCACATCTTTCGGTATGAACTGTAAGTAAATTATGGTGCGCTACTGATGTGTGCTTAGGAGTCACCTGGGTTTTGTATTAATCCGCCTTATTTCTGTTTCAGGTCACCGTCTGGCCGTAGGAGCTTCTCCAGGAGCCGCAGCCGCTAATCCTCTTATTTAACTTATTGCGCATGCATTTAAATATATGTCCATTCGTCATTCTTACGAAGTCTTTTCAATTAAGGAGGCGCCTTGTAAATACAATTCGTGACTACTTACCTGGGTAAATCCGCCACGGGACTGGAATACTACTACTGCTACCTGCGTCGAGATTACGGTCTGCCTCGGTTATTTCTAACGTGACGTTGAGGACGGTACTTTCAGTCAGTATCGTTTGAATACTGGTAGCGTGTGGAAAGGTGCCCCGACCGGACCGTCGTGGAGTATTGGCATCTTCGCAGGGTTTGTCTAGCCGAGGTTTCTCATAATATCGTGGGGGGCGAGATGACTCAGGTGATAAGAGCGCGAACTGACCGGAAGGTCCGTGGTTCGGACCGGATCTCTGCCTCCCTACTTCCCCTGTTTAGGCTTGGGCAATCTGGCAGTATCCCGGTCCTCGTGTCTCCTTCAGGTGGCCTGGCAGCTAGGCACCGGAGTGGTGATACAGTTGAGCGATTTTTTACTAGGTGTGGCCCGTCGAGCCCAGGATCCGGGGCAGTATTTTCGATAGCTGGGAGGGTGCGATACCGCGTTCGGAGGTTTACGGCAGAAGCCTGCGGGCTTTGGTAGACGGTGGAGGTTTAACGGAGTTGAAGATTGTGCGGAATCTGAGCCCGCAGGCTGGCAATCAGTGTGCTTGGAACGCCGAGTGGCCTGTTTCACGGTCCTGGAGTGCCTTATGGACCACTGAAAAGGTTGAAACTAATTGTAGCGGGCCCTTTCCAGGCAACGATTTATGATTCAGAAAGTTGGGCGATGATAGACACCAACTCTCTTCATATACACGCGAAACGCAGTTGTGTCAAGGGACGCTCCCGACCGCAACTCATGCAGAGTTCGACTGAGTATCCTATCGTGCTGTTTGGTTTCGTCTATGGTGTTCATCTCGCGACATCCCTCTTCCTAATATGTCTTTCTGACGTCCTTTTTTCCGGTTTTCTCGATGTTGCTCGGAGCGTGTCAAACTTCATATTTGTGGAGTCCTGTGTTTTACGAACGGCTTTGTAACTATCGCTACTTGAAGGGGTTCCGTGTCTCGTCAAGTCGTTTCCGTTGACTGCAATCTGCGAGGCAGAGTTGGCCTACACGGGGCTTGGGCCCCCTGAGTGCCGCAAAGTGACACGAATCGTGTAGCTGACACTCGAAATTAACTGTCACCCAACCCGTTTTCCGAAGCCTTGATGCAGACGTGCCTCTAGTGTTATCATGCTACGTCTTCTCCATTCGGCAAACCGAAGAATTGTGAGCGCGGAATTGAGCCGTTTCGGGCAGTACGTTTTTTGGCGGCAGTGCGCTTGAAAGTGAACACTTTCAACTGAAATTCGGAGTAACTTGGTGGCTACGACTTCCTCGGTGAACGAAAACCGCTAGTTCGTAACTGCTCTTATTATGAATCTCACTTCACACTCAGTGACGCAGCTCAAATCAGACAAGGTTAGACTTATAGTCGTGACATTCTGAGAGAGTTCTCGAGCAGGCTGGATGAGCTTCGGACGCTTTAACAGGGAGGGTTACTTACTATCCTGTGTTTCGGACGAGGCTTAGGGGCTAGACATGATCAACTCTGAAACCGATTCGGGGCCATATCTTGTAGAATCCATGGCACGTCGCAACGCTAAGCACATTCGTGGGTCGCATTGGCAGCAGCTCTGTACTATTGTCCCCAGACTTCTTAATAGTGTGTATTCCAGCTGCAGCCTTTCTCCACTACCGGCTGAATACGTCGTATCAATACAGCAGAACTACTGTGAGGGTTCCGTTTCGCCCTGCAGTTCAACTGGTGGTTACCATAAATGAACGATTCTGCCGTTTGCGATGTTTCGCGCGCCTCCGTGTTATGTCGGGTCGTGGTGCGGGATCCATTGACAGCCATATTATATAACACCGGGTTGGTCAGTGGTCGCGTCTAGTCTGCTGGTCCTTTCCGATGGGGTTGAAATATATGTGGGGACATGCTTCTTTGGTAGTCTGTCCCAACGGCCGCTAGCTTGGGCTTAGGCCATTGAGGTAGTGTCTCATATCTCCTACTGTCTGAACCTGTACTCCCTGGTAGTGTCGCAAATGATATGTTAGGAAGTCAGTAAACACCCTTTATGAAAACTAACGTTATGTTTCACGATAATGATGGTATGCGCACTGCGGGACTGTGATTCTCCCAAGACAGGTTTACGACATTTGTGAATAGAAAATAAGAAACCACACGAGTCGAAGGCGTAGCCATTAGTAACAGCAACAAATCAGACATACTGGTCCTCAACTGCAGCTGTCTATGTTTACGCAGAACGCAGCCGAAATGACAAGCTTGATGCACTACATAATAAACAACGGATTCACTTGCAACCACAGTAGTTACTCGCTACCTACCCTGAGATGCCGAGCTCAGTCATGACGGGACGGCTGGTGTACGCTTGTAACTTCACCGAGCACTATCCGAGATTTCAGTTTGACACCCAAAGTCCCACACATTGGTCAACGCCCTGATCCTCGAGGGCGTTGGGATTTTTACGGCAACTTACGGCCTAGGAATCTGTACTACTTTGGTGTGATTCGGAAATTCGCCAGCTGCCTTACTTTAGGCTTTTGAGCCTCGGTTGAGAGATCCAGATAGCTTAGTGGTTAAGCCGTGAACTTTCTGAATGGGAGGTACGCGGCCTGAACCCAGTCACAACATATGGACTAGCTTCTACCGGTCTTGGGAATTTCAGTGTCTTAGCCCTCGCACCTCTTTTGGATGGCACCGAAAGGGTGTTGCAACCGAACGATTTTTTTTACTCCTAGTTGTTCTCCTGCTTAGGTTTTGGCACCCCAGTCCGAGCACAACTAGCAAAACGGTGAAACACCACTGTCAACACTTATGGTGTTTATGATTGGGAAGTATATTAACAGCTCTTGAAAGTACCACACTATCCACAGATGGCGTTCGTGTATTGTGCTGGGTCATACTAGCAGGGGCTCCAGTGAAGCCAACCTGTTTTCAAACCCTCTCGGCTGCGGGTTTCGAAATCATGGGCTGAAGCACTTCCCGTGCAAGTACTGTGTGACTGAAGTCAGTTTCTCAAATTCTCCATCAGCATTATTGAGTTGTTCGAAATCAGAATTTACAATATAAAGATATAAAAAGTAGGGTGTAGGAACAGGTTATCACACGAGTGAAGGTATGCAATATACAATACTCTAAGTTGACTTCAGCGGCGGTTCATGGGGAAATTGAAATATAACAGAAAAATGAGATTAAAAAAAATTGAGATTGCTCACTTGATCGCTCGATAGCGACGGAAAGTATAAACATGAGGCAGATAAGGAGCGCAAAAGAGAAAATCTAGGGTTGAGAAGCTAGATCTGGCAAGAGCTCCCAGTCGGAAACCAGTCGGATCAAAGGAGCTACAGAATTAGAATTCAAAAAATCCAAAAAGTTCTCATCAAAAAGAGATTCTGCGGCCTCTATGGCTTCGTCGGACAGCCAACCTGTGTAGGGTGAGGTGCTGGTTTTAGTTCGATGGAGTTCTTTTACTGGCTCATCTTTAGGTGGACCAAGCAGGCTGCGAGAGATTGCCGCACCAAACGCGTAGCCTCCACCGGCGGCCAACCGTAACGAACGATTCCAGCGGAACCAACCATGGACCCAACACCGAAGGTAGGAGGCTGGTGACACGGTCGGGAACAATTCAGGCATTATTCGGAAAGGTGGTGAAAAAGTTGACATCAGTGCGTGATCTGTATCCTTTATCTGGTGAATTGAAGGGGAAGGCAGTAAAAAGATAAGCAGACAAGGTGAGCAAACCAAGGTTACCAGGTAGGTATCGTGGCGATTCAGAAGGTGGTGCCTGGTTATATGTGTTAGTTTAACATGCGACCATTTTGAACCAGTCGGTTTTTTGTTACCGACATTTTTGAAGCATCAAAGTTGGGATGGAAAATACTTTTCATCCCGTTAAGCATATAACATACAAACAAGATTTTACCCTAGATCTACAGGCGCAAGCTTGTATTGAAAAGAATGGCACCACACCAAAAAACAGCGGTCAGGTAGGACAGCGCGATTCAGCGCTTAAGTTGAAAAAACACCATGTGAAGTTTGGTGGGATTGTGTGCTATTGGGTAGATAAATTTGAACTTCTTTGAAACATCCAACTTTAAAGAGGAACTGGCAGTTCGGGTTGCAGTCAACCAAGATCCTAATGTTTTGATAAAGTTGACGGGGTGGGATGCATTTTCGCAGTGATATAACTATCGACGTAATGTATGAAGGAAGTCAAGGGTACCAAGGTTTTTATCGTACCTATCTCTAGGATATAACTAGGTCTTTTAACGTTCACCGGACCCAGGTCGCCCATCAAAGAACTAAAGTGGAACTAAAAGGCACACTGCGCTCGGTGCGGACTTGAGAAGTGGTAGGGGGACGTCAGGCAACACAATGCCACCCAGTATCGAGAAACAATTGGCGATCAATACCAATTTACAAAAGACGTTCCTCATTATCATTGCGTTTTGGGTTCAGGCTAAACACGCCAACAGGGTATTGGTTCTAAGGGACTGAAACGCTTGTATATATATTGGAATTTCCTGCAATTATGACTACATCCGAGCTCTTCATGATGAACAAGACGGTGGTCTGTGCTTGACCAGTGTCTCAATAAATCCAAGCTACAGTTCGCTGGTACATAACTAGACACGATGAACAAACAGCACTCAATGTTTCGATCAGTGAAGTAGAAAGCTGGACAGCACAGAGTCGGTTGTTCGCAGGTATCCTGCCAAACAGTGAGGTCTCAGACCCCGACTTTTGGGCTACACCAACGCCGACACAACCCGCTGCAGCAGGTACGGGATCAATTGAATTTCGCAGTCTGTAGCATCCAGATGGACAGGGTACCATAAACACAACAACTGTGCTTGAGTCCTGTATTCGGGTTTCAGAGACGCATCAGACCAGGCAACAGAGTGCGCACACTATCAGCGCTACCTAGGAGCTCTCAAGTAAAGCACTACATTAGAAAGAGGGAAACCTGCACAGCGAATGCGGCGCAATGGATGTGGGCGGTAGTGTGCGACGCATCAATTTCACAGGTCTCTAACTGTCTGTCTACAGCTAAGGTCTACACAAGAGTCATTGTTAAGTAGGATAGTACAGGAGTTGAGAGATAACAGAGAAGAAAAAGGGGGGACGTTTTCGCTTATTCGCTCTACTGTATGCAGCACATAAAACGACCCGGTTGTCACCATGAGACGGTACGGCGAATACACACTCACTTCTGTCGGATTCAGATGCCAGTACCACCAATACCGCCAGTTCGGCAGTAACGCCAACCCTCGATCAGTAAGAACGTTTGCCCAGTCACGAAAGCTACGAAGCACACCTTTCCGACAAAGTTCATCGGATTGTTGAGCCACTTGTCTGGGTGACTTGGCCTTATTACTGACGCATCGTGCTGCATCACATGAACAGGAGAACTCGATTGCAAATGGGGGCAAGCCACCGCCGCGACTCAGTGCCGTGTCCAGGAGGAACACCAGATAGTCCTCGGTGGGAGAAAAGGGGAGAGGAATGACGAAGGTATTGTTTAGAAAGAGATGAAAGTAGACGAACTGATGAACTTTTCAATCTACTCCCAAAAATTAGTACTCATCACGTGAGGAACAAGTAACATGCTTTGGGAGATCACAATGCAAAAAAGTCGCTCAAACATGTCAAACAAAAGTGGGGAGACACCACTAGTGTACTCGCAGGAAGCTGGACGATCGTGCCAAACTGCTGCGATTTGAAAGTGGCCTAGTGTTTGCTAGCTTGTTAACTGGAATGCAAACGCCGGTACTCAAAATGGCACTATCTCTTCGATGATTTAAGCTTTTTAGAAGATACTGACGGCTGTGCCGTGACTGGCTTCGTCTTTTATGTCATCTGATTAATCATCCAGCTCACTACTTGACCGGTCGCTCTAATAAAGACAGTTTGGCAACACTTATCACATAGATTAGTTGTGTGCTACAGTGACACATAACCAGCACACGCTTCTGTCAAATCCGGTCATGACTACTGCGCAGTAAATAGCAGCTGCTGACATGGAATACCGTGAATCGGATGATAACATAAAACTGGCCTATTAGCATTAAAGTGCAAGCAGTGTGACATGCGAGAATTGAGTGCGTGTGAAAATATCACGACGATTTATCGACGACTGCTTAGACTTCAGTGAACGAGGATAAACACCACTTAGAGGTGAAGACCGCGTGTGCCGTCAGAGGTGACCGTTAAGTTCAACGGCCAGGCGCGGTACATTAAGTTCGGCAACCTTCGTAGATAGCCAAGCTTAATTCGCACTGTTCCCGGGGGAAACATACAACAGAAAAAGGCTTCAAATGTGCTGATATCGGCTTGGCTCCCCACTAATCAACGTACGGCAGATCTGCCCTCGACCATAACTTCAAAGCACACATCTGGTTGGAGCAAGCCGTTTGTGAAAAGCTCAACTAATATACAAAGATAGATTGATTCGAACCCCATACCTGCTTGCAACCACCTTGAAGCGCACATCATTTGTTCACAGATGTGTGGATTTTTTAGGTGATTATTGAAAATCTGTCAAAACATGTCATCCTAACCAAATATAGTGCACAAAAGGCAGCATCTGCTCGGTTTTAACAAATTCCATCTAAAGGATCAACGGCAAGTGATGAAATACACTCATTTGTGCATGACAAGCGGAGTAGCCTGTTATCAACTTCATCAGCACCCTAATTTGTCAGTTGATGTTCCACTTTGGCATAACGGCGGAAACTCAGGGACTATGCCTACCTGATTAGCCACAAAGATTTGAAAACTAAAGTGAGTTGTCGGGGAGTTTTCAGTGACTTTATAAGTAGGTATGTCAAGAAGATGAATTCAGTTTGGAGCAGTTTGGATAACGGGAAATTGGTGTGTCAGGCTGTTGGCAACTGAAAAGCAAAGGAGCACATAAATGAATTCGCTACGCAGTCGAAAATGTGAAGAATATAGGTGGCAAGTTGGCGGTTACGTAGGCATGAGAAAAGTGGTTGATTAGAGTAACGTCAAGGTGATCACTGTAGAAGATAAGAGCGTTCTGATAATCATGTTTAGGAGTTTAACTATACCTAATGCAGCTGTAGATGCCGGCTGAAGTGTGGGAGGGATTGTGTAGTGAGCACTGAAGGTGCAGTCTGGATGCTACCGCACAGCGTATAGTATCCAAAACTAAGGCATGGATCAAGCGGAGGCGTCCATCATTCAATCGCCTACCTCAGTAAACCCAAAATCCACAGGAAACTGGAGCAGCAGCTGATGTACGCAGTCAAGGAATAATGCGAAGCTGGCACAACTGTCGTAGTCGTTAGAGACTGAACTGTCGTACCAGTCGGAAGGATCCGGGGCAAAAGGATAGCCAGCACGCACCCATTCGTGTTCAATTAGGTCCTCGAAGCCAGATAGGGTTCGGGTCTCCGGAGACAGTATGATCTACGCGGGAACACAAAGAGGTAGACGCACTGGCACTTATTGTCTTTCGACAGCATTCAAAAACGCCGGATACCCAGCTGACTGACTGACTACTTGTTGCACAAACACCTCACCAAACGCGATAGGAACAAGTGTACTGAAGATCAAGCACGGCAGTGAAGGTCAATGAGAGGAAAACATATAACAAATGCATGGGGAGGTTGAAGGCAGACAAGAAGCGACAACTCTGGCTCGTATCTCGGCAACACAGGTGGAGATCTTGACTAGATGGCTACACTATGTTCACGCAGAGAATGAATCGACTTTGTGTGTGAAACCAGCTCCCAATCAGACCAAACAAACGGGACTGGAGCAATTTCCTCACATTTACTGCTGGCCGCATCTGTCTACCCGTAGCATATGATCGCTATGATTCGCCAGTGGATCACGTTAGGTGGAGTCGCTACAAACTGTCGGCGTCATTTACGTGCAACAGCCACCATGGTTGCACTCATATGCCAGCTGATTCAGATTTGTCAACGCGGCATGCAGAGCGTCGGTGAGCGGATCCCAATAGATAGACAGCGCTCGGATTCCATAGGGCTACAGGCGATATGGCAGTTGGAGTTGCGTCCATTCATCATGTGACGATTAATAACGGCTATCTTCCACTTACATGGCACATGTCAATCTCTAATTCTGAAAACTAAGTGATGAAAATTCACTTCTCCAAGTAACCTCAACGGAACTCACTTAACCTCCAGGGGTTCAATTAGCTATGACAGTTTGTCCTCCCAGCTGGTACATTCACCTGTATATTTGTGGAAAACTTCGATCATTGTTAGCGGTCCATGGATACACGGTCCAATCAAACCGTTCTCCACATACATATAACGACACACGATTGTTCAAATAGTTTTGACGTCATTCACACTCATCAATTTCGTTTTATTTTGACCAACAAAACATAGCACTCACCAGTTGTTGCAGTCATCGATTCATTTGCACACACGTAACAACTAGCACAAAATGCTGGCTCAACCGTAGCTAACTTCGCGACCCTAATTGTGAATGAGTGAAAGCCTGCGGTGAACCCGCATTGACCATATTCAGCGATGCTCGGTCATTTTACCGTCCTCCGACCTGTCTTCCAACTCTGTTTGCAAGACAAAACATGTGGGTTGTTCTGCTAGACTTTTAGCCAAAACTGCAAGTGAGAAATAACTCTAAATTCATCCTAGTTTAGATGTGCAAATCTTCCCAATGCAGGACTTCCAGCGTACTAATCTGAGGATTCAGTATTAGTGAATATAATGCACTGGGTCAAAACAGCCTAGGAGAAGATCAAGTTATCACGAAAGCGCGAAAACCACAACCTACTGAATCAGCAGTTTTGGTCGCCGACATCTCCTCAGAGAGGGATCCCAAAACGATACGCATAAAAAACTATCACCTAGTCGCTAAGCCATCACCACAGTGGAGAGCTACTATTCATCTACGTTAAGCCACAGGTGCAACCACCATGCGATCACTACCTGATCCAAAATCCATGGATACAAGTTTGTGTCCCTTTTTAAGGTCGTTGGTGTTGCCGTCGATGACAGCAACGTAGAGAAGCTCAATCCAAAGTGAAACCCTCTCTTCTAGGGGCCAGAACAGCAAAGAAGTGTAAAACCACTTTCGATGTTGAGCCACAATGAATTTCATCATTTGGGAAGACTAGCTTGCAAAATGTTTTTCAATACTACGAATCGAGCAACTCTCATGAAGTTGACACGTCCCATCCAGAAGCTTGATCAATTCCCAGCTTCTGGTCAAGCCATTGAAGACAGCGGCAGCGTAAGCTTTGGTTAACCGGATTTTTATTCTAACTCAAAACAGAGAATATATACCATAGAGCTTAGTGATGTGGTATGGAAATTCACAATGCGCAAACAGGTCAGACCAATCAGGAAGTACTCCCCCCTCAAGAGGAGGCCACTGTGGTGTCATAGAACCCGCTGTTCTACCATGAACAACTCTCAGAACCGAAGAAAGTAACCATCCTTGATGCAGAAATGGACGAAGAACTAAAATGGCAATGATCTAGAAAGTTTATCCAGATTGAGTGAAGCCCACAATAGACAAGAATTCTGACCAGACATTCGACACTGGCGAATAGAAAGCGCGTTTTCGGTTGTGCAACGGGTACTGCCATTGAAGAATGTATCCAACACCAGAAGCTGTGTTGGTTGGGACATGTGTTGCGTATGCCTAATCATCGTTTGCCGAAGAGGGTGCTGTTTCCCATGTCCAATTCGGAGTAGCGTAAATAGAGTGGTGGCCAACCCTTGACTTGGCAGAGGAGTATGAAGGAGATCACGAAACACCTGCTACTCGCCTTCCAGGATGGGGACCGCATGATCCTCACTGTGCCTGGTTGAAGACACTACGAGATATGGCTGTCAACCGATGTCAGTGGCATTCTCGTTCAGATTGCCTGAGTGAGTGTCTGGAGGTGTAGGCACCTCGGAATGATTGTGGTAAGCTAGCACTAAGTCCCTTCCCCGTCCCCCTTTATTTTTTTCTTTACAATAAGGCTTTCAAATAAATCATGGTCGCACGGCAGTGAAGCGTCTGTGTTGAACACTGATGTCAAGCTGCCGATGATGATGATGACACTGGTTTAGTGTGTTCGTCAAAAGAGCTCTTGTTGATTGTTCCTCTGTCTGACTGGAACTCAGTCAACCTGGTAACCTGATCACTTATCCTGAAGAAACTTTTGTGTCAAAGAAGAGACACTGTCCTACAATAAAAAACCAGGGAATGTTAACCATAGCTTTCGAAGTGGTGACATCCCAACTGGTTGCAAACTTTGTCCCATAAATAGATGTCTTCTCCAATTCATGCTAATTACTTTTGAAGAGCATCACAATGCTAGGACAGATGCCTATGGTAACTCAGTCGCACCCTAAACAGCCGCGTCTGAAATAGCTCATCGAATGGCTAAATAGTGTCTTTTGGGGGAAAGAGCGAGACCGAACAAATTCTTATCAATGCTACCCGATGTGTCGTACAAGCTGAGATGAACGCAAATGAGAGAGCGACGAACCAGTTGGAGAAGTGGATAGGTCGACGATTCAGAGAGTTTCACGCATTCTGGTTGTAATATTGAACATTTCTTGAAGCTCACAGGTTACGATTGTGGCCTGGAAGCTGTGTTGGTTGGGACATGTGTTGCGTATGCCTAATCATCGTTTGCCGAAGAGGGTGCTGTTTCCCATGTCCAATTCGGAGTAGCGTAAATAGAGTGGTGGCCAACCCTTGACTTGGCAGAGGAGTATGAAGGAGATCACGAAACACCTGCTACTCGCCTTCCAGGATGGGGACCGCATGATCCTCACTGTGCCTGGTTGAAGACACTACGAGATATGGCTGTCAACCGATGTCAGTGGCATTCTGGTTCAGATTGCCTGAGTGAGTGTCTGGAGGTGCAGGCACCTCGGAATGATTGTGGTAAGCTAGCACTAAGTCCCTTCCCCGTCCCCCTTTATTTTTTTCTTTACAATAAGGCTTTCAAATAAATCATGGTCGCACGGCAGTGAAGCGTCTGTGTTGAACACTGATGTCAAGCTGCCGATGATGGTGATGACACTGGTTTAGTGTGTTCGTCAAAAGAGCTCTTGTTGATTGTTCCTCTGTCTGACTGGAACTCAGTCAACCTGGTAACCTGATCACTTATCCTGAAGAAACTTTTGTGTCAAAGAAGAGACACTGTCCTACAATAAAAAACCAGGGAATGTTAACCATAGCTTTCGAAGTGGTGACATCCCAACTGGTTGCAAACTTTGTCCCATAAATAGATGTCTTCTCCAATTCATGCTAATCACTTTTGAAGAGCATCACAATGCTAGGACAGATGCCTATGGTAACTCAGTCGCACCCTAAACAGCCGCGTCTGAAATAGCTCATCGAATGGCTAAATAGTGTCTTTTGGGGGAAAGAGCGAGACCGAACAAATTTTTATCAATGCTACCCGATGTGTCGTACAAGCTGAGATGAACGCAAATGAGAGAGCGACGAACCAGTTGGAGAAGTGGATAGGTCGACGATTCAGAGAGTTTCACGCATTCTGGTTGTAATATTGAACATTTCTTGAAGCTCACAGGTTACGATTGTGGCCTGGTTTGTGATAAGCGCTCTACCTACCCCCGTTAGATATCTTCGTATGCAACGCCGACGGTAGTGTCGTAAAATGGATTGGGGGTAGGCTACGATCGCTCAGTTTGCAAAACCGCCTTGTTCAATTACGGACCTGAATGCGTTTGGTTGTTCGTTTCGTTAACCCGGTTGAAACCGATGCTTGGGTGTGCAAAAGGGTCCACGAGATTACGACGAAAACAACTCAGGTAGTTCTGTGCTAGTATTCAGGGCGTTCTGACTGATCAGTCGGGAAAGAGGGGGTTTTAACTGAAGCAAAGAAAATCCACTACGACCCGGTCAGCCAATCCGTTTGGGGTTCACTGGTCCGAGTTTCACTAATAGGATGAGATTAATCCGTCCGATAAAGAGGCGTTTGACGGTCGCCCGGACGGCATATATTCCATTTTCGGACGAGAAGAAATAAACAAGGCAGTTAGGAGTTGCGATCTTTCTGGCGAATAAATGAGTAAAGGAAATGTATGTTTGATTACACGCCCACAAAAAATAACTGATTCATCCATTCCGTTCAACATGGTTACGGGATGGGAGATTGGCATCATAGGTATTCGCTGATGAAAATCCAGTTTGTCGTACCCCGTGACCCTCACCACTGGACCCACCCTGCAACAATCGCTGATGTAAACTCACGATGGTTCCGAATGACTGCCATAGAAGGAGTACAATGCGAAACTCGTCTGGACATTTTGAAACAAGTGGACTGTTTTCACCAGTCGTCCTAAATACCCGGCGCGTCAGTCAACCCGTGATTACACAGTACCGTGCATCCGACAGATCCCTCCCGGAAGTTTTCAGCTCTTCACGCTTTTGACTGATATGCGGTGACACCGGGGGGGGGGGTGAAATGGCTCAGTGGTTAGACAACGAATTTACTGACCTGTCTAAGCTTAGACAACTTGGCAGTTTCGCAGCCCTCGTGCTCCCTTCGGGTGGCATGGGTGAACAGTGGCGACAAAAAATGTATATTTTTTTAAATTGTTCAGCTGTTGCACCCTTTCGATGCCTAACTGCCATGCCACCTGAAGGTTGCACGAGGGCTGGGATACTGCCAGGTTACCCAAGCCTAGACAGGGGAAGTCGAAAGGCAGAGGTCGGGTTCGAACCACGGATCTTGTGGTCAGTAAATTCGCGCTCTAACCACTTGGCGACACCGGGTGCACCACTGTATCAGCCGTGTTAGTTATATCACACAATTGTTACTAAGCATGTTGAATATCAATTGCACTCGTGGAGTATGGCTTCTTTTTGCAGTGTCTGCGCGCACCAGGCTTAACTGTCAGGAAGGGTAGCTGATTTGAGAATTTCTGAAGTGATTACGAGTACCCGAAAAAAAAGTGAATCAGCAACAGTGCTCATGGGTTCCATCAGCGATTAACGACAATGAGGTCAAGTTTTACGATAGATAGGCTAATCATTCTGCTAGATTTCGCTTCCCGAACATCACCACTCTTTGGCCGAACAGCACAACAGTGATTAGGCGTTTGACAGATACACTAATTTGCATGCTAATTTGGCTTCCGTTAGAGACTCATTTGAAACCCAGCTAAACCTCCCGGAGTGCCTGAAAGTTTGCCTCTTACATAGCAACCTGTTCACCAGATTTGAAGTGCATTTCATCCACGTGCGCATGCTCGGCTGAGCGACTTGGGATTAGCCATGCATTTTTGGACACTGGGTTCTTCAAACAGTACAGTTGTCTGATGCTTTCAACTGTTCAAAATAGGCAAAGACATATCACGAGCATTCTCTTTCACTAAGACAAATAGATAGGTGTCATCAATTGTCTTGCAACAAGACCGTTACCTTACACAATAAAAAATACCCAGCTATGATAAAATAGGCACGGTCTATTCGCGAAGTGGGCTCATTTATACAACAAAGTGTCAACAATAGACGTAACTAAATCCCAGCTGAATCTCCCTATCATGATCTTCAGCTCAGTGTGCTGCACAAAGGACGCCTCATGTTTCAGCCGGTATGATATCCGAAATTTCGCAGTACATTCCCCTGGAGGAAACTAATCGTAGAGTTAGTGAAAACTCGGACAGCCCACGTCCAGTTTCGTCCTTCCTCTTTGGTCCGATCAGGTGGGCGTACTCCCTGTGTTTCCGTTAATCTTATGTTTTACTTGGACCTAAATTGTATGAAATTCGCGAAATACACTCATTTGCACAGCAATTTGGTTTATTCGGGAGACTCAACTGAATACCTCGTAGTAAGATTGCGTCACAAAAAATACACTGCAACATTTCGGATATCGTACTAACAGAAACATGTTTGGCACATTCAGTTGAAGAACATAATAGACGATACATTCAGCTGGGTTCCAGGTGCGTCTCCCGCAGAGACCAAATTGTATGCGAATGAGTATATTTCTCGAATTTCTTGTAATGTGGGTTCAAGTAGACCATAATGTTGACGGAAACTCGAGGACCGCGCTTACCTGATAAGCCCAAAGAGGAAAAGCCAAACCGGTCGTGGGCTGTTGAAGGGTTTTCAGCACCCTTGGGAAGAGTTTACTCTATAGAACTGATTAAGCGTATTGGGAAGCATTTTTCGTGTTCGTGAAACTAACTTTAGAGTGGTAGCAATACCCAGTTAAAGGTTGACAACGCAAAACTCATTATTCCTTCAGTTTAGTGAGTTTGACTCACGGCTAGTCGCTTGTTGCAGAAGAACATTAGTTTTGTCCTGAGGTGCAAGGCATTCGGAGGCT